TTTTAAAGATAAGCAATATATAAATGGATATTTGTATAACATCTTCACTGAAAAAACAAGGATCCATCAAAAACTGTTACAGAACTTTATCTTGTTGTTCCTCATCTTCCACTTACCAACTGTTTACTTAGAACTTCTGTTGTTTGTTTTAATAAACGTGTTAAGGTTTTAAAAAAAAAAGTAAATGCATACTGGCCAAAAATAGAAAAATTTCTTAATCAAGATTTCAAATTTCCTCAGCCACGACTATCTACTGTTCATGATACAATCCCACCTGAAAATACAAATATCAACTGTCCTCAAAATTATTATTCACAATTAAAAATGGAGACAACCCATGATTGTTTAAATAATAAATTAGAAGAGCTGAAAAGTAAAACATTAATGTAAAACAACTAAAACAAATCAACTTCGAAATATATGTAAATTTTTAAAATATAAAAAAGACTTTATTATTCTCCAAAAAGAAAATAAAAGAATAAAAAAAACTTTGCTTAAACTCCATTTAATAACAAGAACATTAAATAATTTGGTTAAAGCACAAAATAAGATTGTAGATAGACTTGATCAAAAAATTATAAATCTACAAGACATTATCAAAAACCAATTACTTGAAAGCAAAAATAAAGATGTTATAATAGAATAATGTATGCTGCAAAAGATAAAACTACAAAAAAATTCAAGACTAATATTGTAACAAAATGCAATAAAAAGCAATATAACTGTAACATGAGAGCTGTTATTTACAGGTACATTGAAAGTAATGTTTCTGTTGACACTGTTTCTAAAGTAATACAATCGTGTATACCACTTCTCACAAATTATTCTATAATTGATATACCAACACCTTCAACAATTTCTTAGATTAGTCGTGAATTGGGGATATTAGCTACTCTCCAAGTTGTAAAAACTATTTTACATAGTGAAGGTTTTACACTCGCATTTGACACAGCAAGCTTATATAGTGTACATATTAATGAGATTCATATTGTAACTGTGGAGACAATTTTAGCAGTCAGTGTAGCAGAGGTTCCTGGTGGTTGTGCTGATGATTATGTCCAGCATATTCTTGAATCATTTAATGATGTTGCAACAACATATGCGACTTTTAACTGTATTGATTCTACAGAAGTTAAAAAAAAATATTCAGCTTTCTCTTATGCACTTTAACAGACAGAGTTTCTGCCAACCACTTAACAATGATTAAACTTTATTTTATCTAATTCAAGTACGGTAAAAAATTATACCACCTATAATCACGACACTTGTGTATAATTATTTATTATTTGTATTTGCTATTATCACGAGTCATCTTTTAGACTTTTTTTCTTGAAAAATCGCATTCTGTTTTAGGTATAAATAAAAAGGCGATCCATCAGGTTTCAAAACTTTTCTTAAACTTTCTTGTCATGTGGTATTTTTCCTCGGTACTGGCAATAGATTACATATCATTTTTCATTTAGCTGATGTAGTTTATGAATACAAGAATTTATTGATAGAGTACTTAGAAAAGTCTTGTAACAATCGACCATCTTTTAGAGTATCTATTTTAAATGACTTAAAAAATCCATCAATTCTTATTCACTTGCAAGCACTTGGTCTTTGGGGAAAAGTTCTGACTGGCCCATGGATGGTAGTTTTCTACTCATAAGATACAAAAAGAAATTATTTGATATGGTAAAATTATTATTATTTACTTTTAAAGGATATTAGGGTTATTAAATTAATATTATTTAAAAGTATTTAAATAATAATGTTTAATACTTTTTTAGTAAATAAAACAACTGTTTTTAATTTTTTAAAGGTTGCCTTAAAAAATCTTAAAAAAGCAACTGATTTCATAAAACTTGTTGATGTCAATCTAAAACTTCTTTTCATAACTTTAACTGATGCATTTGGTCGTCCCTTATTGAAAGATGACACTCTAAAATCACTTCGAATTACTGAAAATGTCTCAATAGAAAATCTTTTTTCTATAGCAACTCTTCTAGGTAAGTCATTCTTATCAGTTATGTGATACCAATTGTCACGTTATATTATTGGACCTCTAGCAAATCCAAATTCTGAAATGAAACAACAGGCTGCAAGTGCCCCACATGTTGAGCAGAGATGACCCTTGAGAAGGTTGATTCACTAATTATGCCCCACTACACAATATATGGGCAGAGAGGACCCTTAAAAAGGTTGATTCACTAATTAAAAGAGCGCCTAATGCATACATAACATTTATTGATAGTGTTACAAAAGTTAAGGCTAATTACTCTGTGGATTGGCTTGTAAAAAAAGATAGTAATATGAGAGAAAAAATTTTGCATTAAGCAAGGAGCAAAATATAAACAAACTGGAAAAGAAAGGAGAGTAAGAAATGAAAAAATCATGATTGATCAATTAAAAGAAAAAGCTCAAAAGATATGAAAGTAAGAAACTTTCTAAAGCTATTAAAGTTGGTTTAAGCAATGGTTTAACAGCTGATAGTGAACTGTTTAATGCTTTAACTGGTTTTCAAAGGGAAAAATTACTTGACAATAATTTAATACGTTTGGAAAACTCTTATTTATATCACGTTTGGAATGTTAAAAATAGCGACGTTTTATTCATGGGAAAAATTATAAAAGTTAAGAATATCAAATCTGGTATAGTTATTACAAAAACATTAATTATTGCATATTGGAAAGCCAACGAAAAAGAAGAGGATGCAAAAGATTGTAAAGTAAATTTAGATGTTGTTTTGACTGATATGATTTTTGGAGATTTGATATTTTGTGAAAGTTGATAAATATTTTTGATATTTATTTTTAAATATATTTTGTATAATTGTATATTTATTTTTATGTATATTTTATTTATATGTGTTTTTTTATTTATTTTTATTTTTAAACGCTAACACTACTAAAGGTGTTACGTAACAAATATTTCATAGCTAAAACTATGAATTTTTTATAAAAAAGTTTTAATATTATTAAATAAAAATAGATTTGAAATCCAGAAAAAAATGATGATAAGTTTATTTTGTTGTAAGACCTTTTTTGCATTACCATTAAATAAAATATTTTAAAAAAAGTATTGTTGCAGATTTATTATGTAAAATTTGGGTCTTGTCCTAGCCATTACTTTTAGGTGCTTAAGATATAGAGGGGAGGGGAATAAAAAAAGAGGGTGGAAATTTAAGTCCAGGTCTAATAAACGACAGGGGGGAGGTTCTTAATAAAAGGGTGAGTGAGAATTTTTCACAGAACACGAATAAACAAACTAATTCTAGTATGGCTTGTGGCAAAATAATCATTTTTTAACAGCTGTTTTAATATCATTAATAAACGAAAACTTAAGTTTTGACAAACCGAAATTTACGAGGTTTTTTAAAAGTCGACAATTTTTAAAGCCTAATTACACTTAAGGTTTTTATTCTTATCAGTGATTGATTTTGTCAGAAATTTTTTTTTTTTAGTTTTAAGATGTGATTTTTTTTGTGGATAACAAAAAAATGAAAAATAAACAGGGAAGGGGGAATCATGACAAGCATGGGGTCGGTGGGAAAAATTTCCAAAAATTAATAAACGTATCCTTCCGTGTATTAAGCAATTAAGAGTACAATTACTATAGTTTTTTGTCTTTTTTAAATTAATTAATAAAAAAGGTCTTATTATGGAGTTTTAAATAATTACGGTCTAGTTTTTAGTTTATTTCGTAAAAAAACGAACGTGATAGAAACATTAATGCGATTCTTAAAAACGTTATTTGCTGAAAACGTGAAAAGTCATAGACAAAAAAATCATTAATTTTTTGGTTTAAAAGTTGCATGACTTTTCAACTAACGATAATATAACGATAAGTTTGGTATTTTTTGAACGTTTATATTTAGTTCTAATTTATGGTATTTTTTTTTTTTTGTTTTCATTTTACATTTTTAAAAAAAATGTTGAAGTGCCTATTATAACCGTATATGTATATTATTATTATATTACCCTAACCCTAATTATCTATCTATAACTATCAATTAAAAAATGTTTTAATTGTTTAAACCGCGCAAATCCATATGTTGACCACTCAAATCACCAAGTGTTCTACAGCTGTCAATACGGAATAACAAAGATATGATTAAAAATGTGATATAAAAATTACACAAATATAGTGTCAATACGGTATAGTTAACAATGAATATAAGTTCCTTTATTTTTATCATAAAAAAAGCATTAGTTATAATAAGTATAAACAAACGACTTCAGCAATGTTAACTAAGTTTAAACTCGTACATTAATTAGGTGACCTATATAATAGTATGAGTTGCACATTCTAACATCTCGTCCAATATCTGTCTGCTTTTTCTATGCTATCTTTCTAACTCGACTTCTTTTGACTTTCACTCTAATTCCTTCGTTCTTCCCAAAATCAATTTACTCTTGGTCTTTGAAGCGCGTTATAATGCTCTTTAGTGAGCTAAACTCGTCTTTGCGGACCTTTGTAATGTGGCCTCTGTATGGCAATTAGCCCAAGGAGGATAAACCACAATACCAATCCTTTATTTTAATTATATGCAGCTGATTTTTTTTTAGGAATTATAAAGCAATAATATTCAAAACATACTATAAATATGTTTTAATAGCAAAATATACTATAAATATGTTTTAATAGCGGACTTTGCATTTTACATGGATTTTAAATTTACCAAAATATGCATTTTTTTATAAGTATTTTTATCAAACAAAAATAGAGACACTGGTATTTTTGATAACATAAAATACATATATTTTAAAGTTGGTTTGAATAATTATATATACAGCTGATTTTTTTTTTTTTTTTTTTTTTTAATTGAAGTTGAAATTGAAGAAAAAACTTTTATTTTATTCTAATTTCAAACATAAATAATTTATGCAAATATACGATAATAAAAAATTATTATTTCAAATTAAACTCTATACTATAACATTTGTTTCAAAAAAAATTTATACACATGTGCATATAGCTATAAATTTATACACAAATGAAAAAATGTTGTTTTTTTGCAAGAAATTATTCATCGCTTTTTAATCGCTATTCGATACGGTTGTTGACTTTTCCTGCAAGAAAAAATATGAAACCTATATATTTTTGAATAGCCTGGATAATATTGTGTTTAAAAATAGTGATAAAAAAAACTACAGATTTTTTTTTTTTTTTTTTAATTTTGGCCAAAAATCAAGTTTTTCAGATGTGCCAATAAATACTTTAGGCAAAAGAAACATAGTTTAATAATATGATCTGTTCTGATTGTTTATTGGCAATTTTTCTTAATTATAAGCTCTTTCTTGGTCGGAATTCTAGTATTTTTTGTGAAAATTGATAGAATATTGTATTTCGACAGCTATATATAGTTATTATACGTCAGAATCGATTAGAACTAGCATCAATAGTAAATTAAGGAACTTTTTCAATAGATTTTAACTAAATTCATGTTAACTCTGATGAGCAAAGGTGATCTAAAAGGTGATCTAAAAACTCCAAAATGGTGTTCTTTAGATTCACTACTAGGGATAGTAGAAAGGTTTTAAAAATTATATAAAAAAAAAGAAAAGTTTCTTTAAATATTAAAAAAACCTGAAGCAAAAAAAATTATAATATCTAAAGACATATACGCTGATAAAATCATGCTAGTTCCAAATAAAAGAATTCGAATAATTTGTAAATCGCCCTAACTACACCGAGTAAATAACGTTTTTTAGAACGTCGCACTTGCAAAACGAGCGTTTTTGAAAAATGTTAAAATCTATTTAAAACTTTTTTTGAAATTTCTTAACAAATTTTAAAACTTTGTGACCTCTAATTCTAACCTATTTCGGAACTTTGACTCCTGCTCCAAAAGGAAAATTGACTTTTTCTCTGGCTCGACAATATCAAATTAAAAGAAATTTATAACACAACGCATTTTATCGAGTTGAGAGTAGCAATTCAAAACGATTTTGTTATAGTATTAAAAAGTTAAATTAAAACATGTTTTAAAAGTTGTTTACAACTTGTGAATTGAAAATCTTAGTTTAAACCGCACAGTGGGCTATTCACCTTTAATGGATAAAATTAAAAATTTATAGATCATAACAAAATTAATAATTTATAGAACATAAAACATATAGAAGATTTAAGAACTATTTTTATTCTATACACTAATTTAATGATTGTATTTCCACGGTTAATTGGTTAATCAAATTTTATGTGACTAGACAGGCAATGAATAATAGTTCTTCAGTCTCTGTTCATGCCAGGTTCTGATAAAAAAATTTTAAAAAATACTTTGTCCAGTAGCTCTATCAATCACGCTATAACGTTAGAGTTATTATTTTTATCGCTTTGTCTTGCATTAATAAAACAGTGTCTCTCAGCACAGGTTCCTCAACTGTACAGATACTTTGCAAAGTTTAAATCATGAAATTTTTCAAAAAACTGATACTGAATATTTCTCCACTGTTATATTTGTAGAATAATATTTTATATATTGTCCTACAAATCATCATTGTAAGTGGGTTAAATATGTTCTTTCTCCAAGGTTACACATCAAATCAGTTGATAGGATTTTTTATGATACTGGTATCAATTAGTAAGCCCAGAGCAGCATCTGCTAAATATTTACATGCTTTATCTGTATTTGAAATATTTAAAACCGTTTTGAAAGATTAGATTCATCTCATAATTTTTTATTAGCAGAAACATTAGATTCATCTCATAATTTTTTACTAGCAGAAAAATCTAATTCATTGGATTTATAAAAAAGAGACAATTTATGTCTCTTTTTTATTTATCATCAAGTTTAACTTGTTTTTAACTACTTGGTTTTTATCTACTTAATTTTTATCTAATTGGTTTTTATCTAATTGGTTTGTCATCTGCTTTTCTGACAGTTAAGTATTCATTTAGGTAACTTTTATTCAAAATATTTGACAGTATAGTTTACAGATTTCCCATGACAGTATAGTTTACAGATTTCCCAGTATAGTTTACAGATTTCCCAAAAATTGGTTTACCTAAAGGTAAACCAATTTTTGAGCTGCATGATTAAGATCAACATCCTTCAACAACTTTTGGCTGAAATTGATTTTAATGGATCTTTGGTAAATTTTGGTTTGAAATACCAAGATTGTTTGAGAAAATTATGAGGTTTAATAAAACCATATCTAAAATAAAAAGTTTTTCTTATTAACAAATATTTTTTATTTGTCAGGTTTTATAGTATAGTTTATATGCCGCGTGGGCTACTAATTCTTTAAGGTAAAACATAATAAATCAGAATGGGACAAACAATCAATGAAAACTCGTTTTAAGCATTTTATAATCTTAAATAAGTATTAAACAAGGCATGTCAATATGTGTCATAAACAATTATTTTCTAAGATTTTTTTTTTAATATGTGATCTATCAAGATCGCATAATTTCACAGTATTACTAAGATATCATGACAAATTTATATAGCAAAATGCTTTTTCTCTTAATTCTCTAAAAATAACACTGTTCCAATTTGGTGTCTTGACAGCACAGACGTAAAAGCATGTGTGTTTGCAAATCGCCAATCGTTGTACGTGTGTGTTTGCAAATCGCCAATCGTTGTACGTGTGTGTTTGCAAATCGCCAATCGTTGTACGTGTTTGTGTACTTTAAATCATTTAACAACATTATTTAAAATAAAAAATAACAACTTTATTGTGGTTTTGTTTATCAGTTTTAACAAATGCTTTTAAATCTTTTTTGTAAGTGGATGTTTCAAAAGGATTTTTTTTTGTAAAGGAATGTTGCGAAAGTTTTCTTTCAAAATAATCTTTGAAAGTTTTTTTTTCGCTCCTCAGTCTTGCAAAAAAAAAAAATTTCCGTATATGCGTTACCTAAAGTGTATTTTTTTAAGTGTAACTTTCGGAAGAGCAATTTAAAATCATGGAGAAAAAGATGATTTTTGAAAGTCTTTCCATCTTACGAACAACCCTACTTTGAAGTCCTATCGTTTTTCGGTGGTTTAACCCCCTAATTTTCTACTTATTTTTTTCTATAGGGTAGAGCATATAGTTGAGCATCAGAGTAAGTTAGGCAATTAAAATATCTCAAAAACTACGCATCACATGACAAAACATCTAATGGATGAAAGTTAGGGAATTAGAATGTTAACACAATGCGCAACAAAAGGTTGTTGGAAGCAGTTGAGTAAAATACACGGGCACTTTTTCAATTTTGAACTAAAAAAGTAATAAAAAACCCTTTCTTTTTTTTTTCTATTTTTCTCTTGTATGTTTATAAATTTCTTTTATCTGCCATTACTGAAGTGTTGATATTTTACCAATTTATCGGACTTTCGATTGAAATTAAGTTTTTTCTTGAGTCTTACTGATCTCTTTAAAACCTAACTAATGTTTCTAGTAGGGGTAAGTTGAGCAGTTTAGAAAATAAATATAACTAAACTATCGAACACAAAGAAACAACTTTGATAATTTAGCGGTACATTATTTATATATACTTTTAAAATAATTTTTTAATCGGGCTTCAAAGTTCAAGATAGTTGTATAAAATAATATTTTATATTTTATTACACTTTCTTGCTATTTAAGTTTTTCTCTTTTACTTACGTCATTATAGTGTATAAAATAAAAAGTTTATAAATTATACACACGCTTATTGTTAGTGAAAGTTTTATTGATGATTCACCCAAGTTTTGTACCATGCATATTCATTTATTTGTTGGTTGCTCCACTTACTCCACACTATTGCTCAATTTACCCCGCTGGGGCAGGTTGAGCAGCTCCGCAAACCTTAGGCAATATCTTCTCAAAAAAAATCAAAAAACTTTTTTCTTAACAAATTTTTAGCAGGTTAAATTATCTTTTAAATATTGAAAAATGCAAATTCGATGCACCGTTCATGAGATCTGTTAGATTTAGTAAAACATGAAACCGTTCCTGAGATCTGTTAGATTTAGTAAAAATTGCTCAACTAACCCCGCTCTACCCTACCCGAATTCTTGACTTGTTGCGATTTCGTTGATTTCAATAAACGACGTTTTTCGTTGATTTCAATAAACGACGTTTGGTATGATACTAAATTTAATATATCCCAGCTGGCACAACTCAGAAAAATATTACGCTTGGTTTTTGTTGCGTGTTTAAAAATTTAAACAAAAGGAATAACACGTGTCAAAAATGGTTTTCATTCCGCGAAATTACCTATTACTATTTACCATAAATACCAGTTAATATTTAATGGTTTCACCGTTACGGAAACGTTATATTATATTAACTTTCCGTAAGGATCGTGAAACCACTGATGTTTGATGACACGTGTTATTTGTTTACGCCTAGATCTTGACAAACACGTGTTGATACAGGTTTTTATTCCCAAAAAAGAAACTAGATGTGCCGTTAGGGATATATATACACATATAATATATATGAACTGAAACTCGGCATAACCATAAAAAGTATAAGACAGTCATTAGTAAAAATAAACATTTAAGTAAAAATAGTAAAAATAAACATTTATTTATTTAATAAATTCCTTGGAAAATGATATTTTTAAGTTTATAAATTATTATTCCATCGTTGTTTTCTTTTAAAAAAAAATTTATATAATTTGATGTTGACGTTCTTTCTTGATACAAAGATTTTTGCAATAATGTTGAAAGCAGCTTCCTTATTTCTAACATAAAAGCTAAAATAATTTGCTTGTAAGAGTGCTAATAAATACGCGGAAATTGTGTAAATCTTTTTGTTAACTCTAAAAGTTTTTGCTCTTCTGAAAGTTTTCGTTTTAGGTTTTCTGTTCTATTAAATAAGTTTTGAAGTTCGTTTTCCAGCCATGTTTCGTTTGTAATTTCAATTTCCGCTATTGATTTTTTCCAAGTAAAAAGCGATAAAGCTATCAGAAAGAAAAAAATAATAAACAAAACAATTGTTATTTTTCGCAACCCTACCATAATTTGTGAAACGATATTTTTATTAGGAGACGGCGTTTAATGTTTCTCATAAATTAATAAATAAGGAATTGCATATTAAAAAAATGAATTTCCTTAATAATTTATTAATTTTTTTCTTTTACAGTTATCCCACTATGACTACGTTTTTATTTTTATTTTTGAGTAACTGATATAGGTTATTCTAATTTTGTTGTACAGTTTGAGTAACTGATATAGGTTATTCAAATTTTGTTGTTTTTACTAGATCAACTATCGTTAAAAAATTAAAAAGTGAATTTATGAAATGTATTAAGTTCTTATTAAGTGGACGCATTGAATAGATTTAGTATCAGAATTTCACTGTTTCTCGAAAATATAGTTAACAAATGTTAAATAAAATTTTAACTGTTTCTCCGAAAAAAACTTTTTCTGGGGTGATTAAATTATGGAAACATTTATTTATATTGTTAAAATGTGCAAAAGTTTTTGATAACACTTAAAAATAAAAACAGAAAGAATTATAAACAAATGAAAAATTATTAATGCGACATTTGATATAAAGTAACTGGAATATAAAAACACAAATAAATATAAATAGTAATATTAAACATGTATAAATATAAATATTAGACATAAATATATAAATATATAAATATAAATATTAGACAAATATAAATATATAAAGCTTAACTGTATAACTTAAAATGGTGTTTTAAAAAGTTTTATTTCTATATATTTTAATTATTTACTAAATATATATTTAAAATATTAAAAATTATTTTCTTTATTTTAAAAGGTAATAAACGAGATTTTTTAAATGTAATAAATCTAATAAATGATTTTCTTTTAATGCAATAAAAAGATAAATTATTGAATAAAAGAAATGAACTTCAAAACCTCAAAATTTTAATTAGTTATACTTTTTTAAAATTTTAATTAGTTATACTTTTTTTTTCCTATATTATTTAAAAAGAGAGATTTGGAAGTTGCCACGGTTTAGCTGTGTTGCAAAAAATCGACAGCTTTGTTTAATTTTTAATTTTATCAAATGTTAACTCTATTAAGTTCTTAAAAATTTAAACAGTAAAATAAAGATAAAATTGTTAATTATAATAGGTTTCTAGGTTAATTATAGGTTGGTTTCTTATATGTAGGAAAATTTCTAGGATCGTTTAAAATTTTGCTATTTAAGTTGTTGCAATCATCAAGTTTTCTGAAAATGTGATGAAGTTTCAAGTAAAATAAAATTTATAAAGATTGATATAACAAATGATGAGCTTTGCTCACTGTTTTTTGCGGTGTCTGATAGCGTGGCTTTTTTGTCTGATAGCATGGCTTTCTTTATGCAATTTGTTTCTATTTTTTAGCTGAGTTTAAAATAAACTTCAAAAATGCTTCTGCTAAAATACAATATAAAACTTTAATGATCAATTCCAATTTACAAATTCTAAAAATGTGTGGGTCTCGTATACTTAACTTTAATTTTTCATGAAAATTTAATGATCATGATGATAAAATGTTATTTTAACGTTTTTTGGTGTTGCCGCCACACTAACAAAAGAAAACAAGTGTGTCGACATATAAATCTTGGTTATTTTGTAAATTTCTTGAGTATATTAGCTTTTTTAGTTAAAACATTTTTAAAAAAATTTCTTTAGCGTGGTAGGTTAAGTGAGTTGCTTGGAAATAATCAACAATCCCGAATTAATTACGAAAGCGCTCTTGCTGTTCAACCTGAACATAAGTCTGCAGCCCAAAGATTGGTTTGTTTTATTATTGTTATTGTTACTTTTTATCGTTTATTTATTCCCTTGGTATCACTTTTTTTCAAAGTTTTAAAATCTAGGGAATGATGTATTTTGATGAAGGAGAATTATGTTTGGCAGAGAAAACTTTACGTAGGTGTGTTCAAAAAGATACTACCAATCATACGGCGTGGTAAAATTTATTTTCATTCAATTCAGTTGTTTTAATATTCACCCATGATAAGCATGTTTATAAATCTGTTGATTATTTAGGAATGACTTAGGCACTGTGTTGGAATCTTGTGGTCAATATAATGAAGCGGCTAGTTGTTACGTGATATCTCTGCAGCTTGAATCCACATCACCTATAATACAATATACATCTTTGCCACGCTTTTTTAAAATTTGATAGGAGCAGTTTTTGAATCGTATTTTTATAAAAAGAAAGATTTAATCTTAGGTGTAATTATATTTTATTAATTTTTTTATTTTTATTTCTTTTAAGTTGTTCAGCGTTGTTTTAATTTTTTTATGTTTAAAATAAACTTTTTTTTAAAATATGTAATTACCATTGCACTTTAGTACTCTAATAAATTACGACGTGTTTAAATCACAACATGTAGAGTTTTAAAACTATTTATTTTTGTTCATATCTTAAATGATCTTAGAAATGTAAAATATTTTCAGACGTCATTATGTTTTTTCTGAAAAATAATATGTAAAGTAATTTATAATCACCGTTTAATAAATGAAAGAAAGAAATGTCAACTAGAAACTCCTTTCAAAAATTCGAGATAACCTCTTTTAGCTGACCCAGAGAAACAGGATGTAGGGTTTGAAAGCCCTTGACTCTGTGATCACAAAAATGTAAAAGTTGAAATCAAAACATTTTATCCAAGAAAATAATTCAACATTTAATTTTATTACTATCAACATCAAAAGTGTAAATGACAGCATTCCAATTTTTGACATTTCTACAGCACATATAAACATAAAATTCTTTAAGCAACAGTCAAGACTTAATATAAATATACATTCTGAGTAAAAATTACGTTTACAGATTCTTTTACAAGTGCTTGCTGTTAAAATCAGCCACACACTTTTGAATTTGAAACTCATATTCTGGGTGTGTCTTTTGGCGCTTGTACCTTTGCCAATGATTTTGAAATTGATGGTGAACAGCTTCAGTGGTTTGCTCACTGTAAATACCCAAAGAAGTGTTTTTTCTTGAGATCAAATCCTTGATGTGAAAAAACACAGCATGAACTTTTGGAGTTACACTTCCTGCTGGTAGTGTCAAGAACGATTGCTTGAAAAGTTCAATTTTTTGTGCATAGACATGCTGCAGTTCGTTTCCAAAGCAGGCAATAACCACAGCATCAAACTTTCTTAGAGCATCAATAAGTGGAAAAATATGAACGGTTGCCTTCTCTTCGGCCAACTGTTGAAGAAGATCAACATTTTTGAGAAGCTTGAGGCAATCATTGCCAATGAAATTACCTCCATGGTAAGGCTGAAGATTAATATGAAGAACAGTTGCTCACTCATCAGTTGGAGGCCAGACTGTTTTGAGAATTTTGTAGAGGTGGTTAACAACTCCAAGCAAAAGATGAAACTCCATGGGAGGGATAATTTCCAAAACCAGACTAGTGTCATCTGCATGAAGAATAGGTTTATGGATGACATTCTCATATTTCTTGGCATTTTTTACATCACTGCTAGCAGAAGCAAATGCTTCTGGAAAGAGGCTTTGAGGGAACCTCAATCTTCTGAAAGAGACTTTGAGGGAAAAAAAAATCTTCTGAAAGAGGCTTTGAGGGAACCAAAAGTTCGTAGGTCTCCACATTCAGCCAAGAGAAAATTTTAGAAATCCAGCTCCCCATTTGTTCCAAGCTTGACAATGTGATCAGAAAATATTTTTCTTTCTAAAAAGATGTGCTCCAGCGATTCAGAAAAATCTTTACAGTGAATAATTGTTGTCATTTCAACTTAAGACCTTTTCTCCTGCATGACTTCTAGCTTTGAATATGTGAAAAAACTTGCAAGGTTCCTATTTCAAAAAACTTAGAGTCAATGTATGGTTTAGTAACTTTAACCTGTGATGCTTGATTAAGAGTTGATGCTAGCTTTCTTATGCCATTGTTGGACATTCCTGTATTGATCTGAATTTGGGCAAGATCTTGTGCTGTCACTCTTGTAGGGGCCTCAAACAACCGCCGAGAGCTTGAAGAACCTGTCAGATTATAAATTTATAATTAAGTACATCGTGTTTAGGTTTAAAAATAAATTTATGAGCATAGCAAAAATCTACCTGATATCAATGCCAGCGGTCGTCAACCTTGAGCTTAGTCTAGGCGAATTTTTCAATGTGGTGATGCCTCTTTTTGACTGATAACAGTAGCAGCTATTTGGTCAGAAACTTTGCTATCTTTAGCTGCAGGCAACCTCATGTTTTCCCGAAATGTGTATTCATTGCAAGGATGGGACATACCTTTGCCAAGAACTGCAAGACATTTGGAGCATCTATGGTAACCCTTCTCGTTTTCAGTCTTCTGCCAATTTTCCAAAGGATGACTTTGATTGAGCTTGAGTTGACCAATTTGACAGATGAGGCATTGGCAAGCTTGCTCTCTTGTCGAAATCTTTGGATAAATTTGTTGAAAATTGAATGGCAGTGGTATGCTTACTTCTTTGCCTTCATCTTTTCTCCTCATTGCTGAACGGCATCCTTCACAAACTCCTTTTGGAACTCTTGAGTCTTGAAAATCGACATCTCTTTGGACTTAGAACTGTCTTCAATTTTTCAATTATTAAAGGTGTTACCTCTCGTTTTGCCTTGTGCATGCAAAGAAAACAGACAGTTTTTCGGTTTTCTTCATGTGATTTTGCAAAAGTGGCCATTTTTATTGCGGCAGTTGAAAATTATGCTAATCACGAATTTTTTGTAAACAAATAAATCGTGCATTTTATAGTAAGTGTACCTTGATCGTCACATACAAAAGGACCAGTCAGTAATACAACTATATATGCTGTAGAAATGTCAAAAGCTGTCATTTACTCTATTGCTGTTTATAGTAATACATTTAAATGTTGAATTATTTTCTTGGATATAATGTTTTAATTTCAACTTTTACATTTTTGTGATCACAGAGTCAAGGGCTTTCAAACCCCACATCTTGTTTCTCTGGGTCAGCTAAAAGAGGCTATCTCAAATTTTTGAGAGGATATACATAACCAATGTCTCAAAGAAAATCAAGCAATATAAACGAATCAATATATTTGAGCAGCCGTGGCGCAGTGGTAGCGCACTTGCTTCAGAAACGTAAGATCCGTGAGCAAGTTTTGAGACATCGGTTGGGAAGGAGGCGTGAATTTCCTATTAAATGCTTTTCCGCGGTGCTCTGTGATAAGACCATATGGACTTTTTGGGGCTCCTTAATGAACTTAGAAAAAAAAATATGTTCATCTTGATATTGAATTTAAACGAATCAATATGTTTATCTTGATATTGAATTTAATTTCAATAGATTAAAAACTCTATAATAAAGAGGTTGAGAGACGTATACTCTAACAGTAAAACACAAAATCTAAGCACTCCGTGTAGTTAAGGCCATTTTAAAATATTAAAACGTCTGTATGATATTTTATTGACTACGACATATTTCCGTTAAATAAACAGGTCTGTGAATTATGAAAAGTCAAAAAAAAAAAAATTTTAATGATAAATTTTGCAGTATCACAAAATATAAAATGTTTGTAGCAAAAAAATTCAGACCAAAGATTCTTTTTTTTAAAAAAAAAAATCTTAAAATCACAATTGCTTGTCTAAATTTAAATATGATTATAAATAAATACGTTTATTAGGTGAAATAAACATCATAGTTTAATAATATGATCTGTTCTGATCGTTTATTGGCAATTTTTCTTAATTATAAGCTCTTTCTTGGTCGGAATTCTAGTATTTTTTGTAAAATTAATAGAAATACAGTATTGGACAACCAATATCGAACAATGCTAAAAAGTTTTCCTAGTTTTACATGTCTTAAAAACGAAACGAACTATACTAACACAGCAAACAGTTCAGGAGTCTGGAGTCATAGCATGCCATGACATGAGCAATCAGCTGACAGGCGATAGCACACAGGCAGAATTTCGTTGACAAGTGCCATTTTGCAGCGGACAAAACAAGTACAACTTTTTGGTTTGCTTCATTTTTTAAAGTCTGGTTCGTGTCAACATCACGGAAGTTTTTTAATAATTAAAGGACGTATCCAGAAGCATGCAGAAGCTTCCAGAAGTTTCCAGAAGAAGCATCCAGAAGTATCCAGAAACATTCAGAAAAGCATCCAGACGCATCCAGAAGCATCGAAAAGAAGCATCTAGAATCTTTTAGAACAGGTTCACACAGGTTCGTTTTACTATATAAGAGACATGTTAAACCGACATGTAATTTAGTCAGTATATGGAAGTCAATCAGTCAGTATTATCAAGTTAATTTATTGAAGTGAGTTTTATCAAAGTGTTTTATCGAAGAACCTGGGCAGCGATTTTGCGTGTAGCTAGGGCTATTTGGGTCGAGCAAAAAATTTTTAGTTTGAGTATATTTAAAGATATTTTTGAGCAGAATGTTAATGAAGTCATTTACGATTATTTTAACATTTAATAAAGTATTTTAAAAACCGCACACAGTTGATATAAAAGTTTGAATTAAAAAAAATTAAATTTGCTCATTATTTACAAGTAGAAAAAATTCAGATTAAAAAAAAAGTTTAAATCATTTAAGCTAACATTTTGATAAAATTATTCAGCAATAGCAAAGTTGTCGATAAAATAGAACAAAAATACTTTCTTTTAGTTTTAGATTTTAAACTTAAATAACTATTTTACGGGGGTTTGTTAGGTTTTAAAATTATTCCATAGATTTAAAAATATTTATTAACTGTTAGACGTATTTAAAGTATTTAAGAGTATTTTCGAGGAAACATTTTTAAAATTTGTGAGCGCAAATAAAAAAAAAAAAAAAGGAATAATATTAAAACGTATTCTACTTGATTCAATAAAAAAGTACTGTTATTAAAATTTTTGTAAAAAGTAACACAAAAAAATTACTTAAATAATAACGATCGCTTTTATGTTAAAAGTTACCGAAACTCAACGAAGCGTGCTCAAGAACAGCTGCTGAAAAATAGAACGTCAATAGTTTTTCGAATAATTTTTAATAATAACTTTTAAGAATAATTTTTTGGCTGAAATACTTCTTTTATACCTATAAGATTTTTATTCTAACATTTTATTTTATTTTACTAGAAATAAAATTCCTTGTTAACATTAAAAATCTATTCAAAACGTTCGTTTAAGTTTTTTATTAATACGAGTGATTGTGCCTTAGGGGTCGTCCATAAATTTCGTCACGCAATTTTTGACCGTTTTCGAACTCCCCCTCCCCCCTCGTCACAAAATCGTAACACTTAAGAAGCGAGTTTTGAATGAGTCGTCACAAAACCACTAAACCCCCCTCCCCCCTTATAGCGTGACGTAATTTATGGACGACTCCTTATGAAAATAAATAAAAATAAATAAATAAATATTATATAAAATCCCTGGTAAAAATATTAGCTATTGCACAGTTTTTAATCGTACAATATTAAAATTTCCAGTTTATTACTCGCTGACTTTTTAAAAAGAAAA